CCACCTCTAGTGCACATTTATCTAGATTCTAAAATTAAATTCAGATACATGTCTATGATTTCTGTGTCATTTTGTTCCTTTCCATCAATTGCCAGTTTAAAATAACCTTTTTTTTTGGGGGGGGGGATTCGAGACAGGGTTTCTCTGTGTAGCTTTGCGCCTTTCCTGGATCTCGCTCTGTAGACCAGGCTGGCCTCAGACTCACAGAGATCCACCTGGCTCTGCCTCCCGAGTGCTGGGATTAAAGGAGTGCGCCACCATGGCCTGGCTTAAAATAACCTTTAATAATATTTTCTTACTCAAAATGTACACATCATGAGAATCCATTGTGCTTAGTGAATTTTCACAAAGCACGAAAACCCATGTGGCTAACACATGTTTTGAGGTCTTTTTAAGCTTTCTATGAAATAGAGACTGTAGGAAAAGTCTATTCCACTCCGATGAGAGGTGCTCTCTAGCCACAGTGTCACCAATGAGCGGTCCTAAAGCTACGGAAGTATGGATCAGATATGACACGTTCTGCCCCACCTCACTCACACCTGAGACCGTCAGGTGAGTCTGCCTGCAGAGGGTCCACACAGCACAGGAAATGGTTGTCTTTGGAAATCATCTTCCTGACATTCTTGTGAGCAGAAAATTTTAGGTATGTTAGTCTGATCTCCCCCGCCCCCCGAGAAAGTGTCACTGCGTGAAACCTGGGGCTTTTGCCCGCCAAGATGAGCTTCCTGAGTGCCGAGGATGGTGCCTGTTTGTACTTGTGTTCTCGGTGCTGCATCCAGGCCTAACTCGTACTCAGAAACTCAACTGTGGGATGGATGGGCTTGCAGAGCGCTTAGCACTCCTTAAGTTCCCTGGAGAGTCAGCCAGTGTTCCTCAGACAGGAGCCCAGAGCCACCCCCATTCAAGCTGCACAAACTGAAATGTCCACTGAGGCAGTCCTTGGTGATTCTTCTAAAACCCCAGTCTGGCCATGCTACTCTCCTAGTCCTCACCTACGGCAGCTGTGTCTATCTAGTCACAGCTCTCCCTCGGGCAGATGTCTTTGAGAACCCAGGCACAAGGCTGCTACCCCTCCATTTCCTGTTCCAGCAGCAGCAATGAGATCCCTTTTTCTTCCACTGGCCCAGGATGTAATAAGCCAATGGGTCCCCAAACTCCATCCGAGAACTTCTGCCCACAGCCACAGTCCAAGCTCCTTAGGGTCAACGGGGCCCCTTTTGGTTGGGTCTGGGAATCTCTTCAACTTCATTTTGTCACTAATTTTACACTCTATGCAATTTCACTCTTCCTTCCCTTTGCAAGGATTATTCCCTCTTCCTGGAGTGCCTTTCTCTGCTTTGAGTAATTGTCATAACTTTCCCACAAACTCGCAGGCCTCCCTTAAGACCCTGCTAGCATCACTTTTAATCCCTCATATCCATGTGCCGTTTTCTGCACCTCGTGTGTCCCTGTCATCGCTTGGGTCGTGGGCATGGTCGTGATATGTTTCTGTACTCCCTAACCCCCAAGGTTCTAAGATTTCTGGGAGCAAAAACCGAGTTTCACCCAGCAGAGTGTCCCCAACGCTTGGTTTTACCCTCTAAACCAGACTGTTTGCACAGGAAAGTTTTATTTGGGAAGTCTTGAATGCAGATACCAAATTCCAAACAAGAAACATGCTGAAATATGAAAAATAATAATATAACCCAGTGGCTGGGAAGATGTCTCACTGGGTGAAGAGCTCGCTGCACAAGCGTGGAGCCTTGAGTTTGGATCTCCAGCATTCACATGAGAGCCAGGCACAGTAGCACGTGCCCGTAGGGGAGACAGAAACCAGCAGATCCTTGGAGCTCATTGGCCAGCCAGCCTAGCCAAAGCGATGAGTTTCAGCTTCTGTAAGAGAGCCTGGCTCAAATAAAAATAGAGAATGATTAATCAAGGAAGATATCAATGTCAACCTCTGGCCTCCACACACACGCACACTCACCATGTGCACACACATACACCACCACCACCACCACCACCACCACCACCACCACCACCACCACAAGACAGTGTAACAGAGTCCAAAACATACAAGTTACACTGCAAGAATGTATGGTGTCCTGGAAAGGGTAGTGTTGTAACCATCGTCCCCAGAGGTCAGCTCTTTCTATGCGGACCGTAAACCATTCCCTCAAAACCACCCAACCCCCATTATTCTAAATCTACACACACCAAGGTACCTTTTGTGATGAATGCAGGTATCTTGATAATAAGGTGGGGTGGCTCTGGTAGTTCAGTCAGTGAAAACATAGGTTACCTCACAAGCTAATGCGTGCGTGCTCAGTGACACACCCACTCCTTAGACGTTTAGTTCACACAGATCACTCGTCAGGAGGAGGTTCAACTTTGTACACACTGGTAAAATGGATTCTGCTGCTCTACAGTGCTCCCTAGGCCCTGAGCAGAGCGCCACCTTCTTCTCCTTGGCCGTTCCCCTTTTCAGACCGTATGTCTCGGGCGTGTATGAGTTCCTGTTGGTGCATGCGTACATGTGTATGTGTGACATACGTATGGGTGCCAGAGGTCAACACCGTCTTCTTAGGTCATGCTCCACCTCAGGTTTTGAAACAGAATCTCTCACTGAATCTAGAGCTCACCCACTTGGCAAGGTAGCTGGCCACTGAGTCCCAGAGATCCTCCTGTCTCCACACCTCCTCCCCACCCCTCCGCTGGTGCTACAGAGACATGTTGCTGCACCTGGCTTTTATGTGGGTCCTGGGGACCCAAATTCATGCCTTCCTGTTTGTGTGTCAGGTTCTTTACTTAATAACCCAGCTCCCCAGTTCCCTCACCCCCTTTCATATCATCTATTTCTATATAACAGCCACAATTACATGCTTTACTCTCTTGGTGTCTAGAGCAGATACTCTCTTGTCCATTTAAACTGAGACACAGGAGAGCCGAAGAGCTCATTCAAGGGTCTACACACCCTGGAAGCTGTGAGTTATTCTCCACCTGCCCTTTAAGTATCAGAGTGGAGTGGACACAGGTGCTGTAAATCAAAGTTCCTCATGCTTCCTATCGCTTCATGACCCTTTTCAGACTCTCACATCAGTCCAGGCAGCAAGACACCTGGTGAAGATATTTCTTCCGGCTGAACACAAAGCTGGAGTGACCTCAAAAGTGGTGGCATGGAAATTTCCACAAGGTAATGCTCGAGCCATGCCAAGTGGCCAGCAGCAGTCAGCATGCTCTAGAAAGAAACACCGTGTGCCAGGGTGGTCACTCTGCAGCATTTATTAAGGAGAGTTGTATAAAGCGGTGATGGAAGCATCCTGCAGTACAGGTAACAGCAAGATGAGGGCTGCCCCTCTCCAATAAATCAACCAGGAGTGGATCAATTGAGCCAGTTTTGTATGAGAGCTTAAGGAATTTGATTCAGGGCAGGGGCCAGTTGCTACGTGTTTAACAAAAGGATTAACTTCTCAGTGTTTTCAAGCACCAACCGAAACAGGTTTTCCAGTGCAGGGGAATAGTTGAGGCTCAACCCTGCAGGGCAAGCAAGCAGCTGCCTGATGGTCACAGAGCAGTCAGCACACCCTATGGAACCCTGTGTTCCATAGTCAGGACACAGAGAACCTGGAAGCACTTATCCTACAGAAGAGATGAAGGAACATACAGGAAGGAGATAGCACCCCACCGCGTGCTATTTACATACTACCCCTGCCCATCTGAACCCTCCTTAATCCTTAGCCCTGGCTGAGCCTGGAGGGAAGACAATTTCTAACTAGAAGCTAAGAAAATTATGTTTAGAAAAGTTAACTGACTTTTTGATGGTTTTTGGAACCATCAGGAAGGTGGTAATTTGTTGGTTCAGTAAGCAATGCTAACAGTGGCCAGCTCATCGTCATTACTGTCACCATTGTCATTAAAAGGGTGCTCTCCGGCCCACAGAATTAACTGATCAGGACTCATAGGGGCTCACAGAGACTGGAGTGACCATCCGGGAGCCTGTGTGGGTCTGACCTAGGTCCTCTGCATATATGTTATGGTTGTACAGCTTGGTGTTCTTGTGAAACGCCTAAGAGTGGAAGCAGGAGCTGTCTCTGACTCTTTTGCATGCTTGGGGACCCTTTTAATCCTACTGGGTTGCCTCATCCAGCCTTGATGAGGGTCTGTGCATAATCTTACTGTAACTTGTGATGCCATATTTGGTTGAGATCCCTGGAAGGCTTGCTCTTTTCTGAAGGGAAACAGAGGAAGGGTGGATCTGGGGGAGAGGGGAGCTGGGGGGGGGGGGAGACTGGGAGGAGAGGAGGGAGGGGAAACTGAAGTCAGGATGTAATATATGAGAGAAGAATAAATAAATAGGTAAATTTTAAAAACAAACGCGGGGAGAGGCATCCACTCTGGCTGAGCAATAGTTCCTTTTTCTGGCCTCACGATGACTCCCATGAGGAAGATGTAATTTTATATCCCTATGCAGAGCTACCAAAACGAAGATCTGTAACTTGTGCATGTTCAACTCTGAGTCCAGATGCCTGTGCTCCAGCTCCTTCACAAGTTTGATCTGTGTGCCTAGAATGTCACTTCTTAGATTAGGCAAAGCTTTGGCTGGTGGTCTGCAAAAGAGGGGAAATGGGAAGGCTGCTTCTCTGACCCCCATCACCCCTCCAGGTTCTTGACACCCCTCCTCAGGCCACAGCTTATATTTTGACTGCTGGAGCTGCCGATCCTTCATCAATGGTGGTTCCATATGAACAGTTTCTTTCCCATCTTCTCAGTGCAGGTCCCCTTCCCAACCTGCTCATTCTAAGAAAGCCTTCTCACATGAATAGAGCCTCTACTGTGCCCACCTACTGGGACAGAGCATGTGCCCTGGGGTTCCACCCTCATTCAGTAGCCTGGTCTGCATCCTTTCTCTGGAAGTTCCGGATCCCAACTCCCCCATAAGCCATTTTGGTTGCACAGTCTTTCAGTCACACAAGATATTCATTCACCCTCCGCCCCATCGTAAACAATGACACCAAAACGGATTGAGAATTTCAAATGCAGTTTATTGCAGCAAAACAAAGAAATGGGAAAGTTTCAGAGTGCTCCATAAAAGACAAACAACTCGCAAACACCGTATGTACAAAACCAAAGCAGCTGAGCGAGCTGCAGGATACAGGATGCTAAGGGCTGGTCCAGAGCACTGAGTGCTTTGGGCGCAGCAAAGAAGCCCTGGGTCTGACATCCTCTTTGAAATGTCGTGTAGGTGGTGGCAGTTCTGAGCTGTTACTCGAGCAAAACATAAAGTGGGGTCGTTACCAGAGGACTCAGATTGCTACTAATTTGAAAACTTCTTTGGAGGCAGAGCAGGGGAGGGAAAAGCGCAGAGGAAATAGGCTAAATTGGTGCGACTAACCATAGCTCTTTTCTCCAATAAGGCTGGTGCAATTGATCTTGGTCTTGTCAACCATATTTGGTCGTGATGGAAAGGGAGAGCTAATGGGGTGGTGAGCACCTCTCTATCTGGTCCCTCGGGAGTAACTAGTGGAAACAAACTTCACGCTAGAACTGCCACCAGAGGACTTAACGCCCCCGGAGCTGGATCCTCCACGGCCTCCTCCAGAGGAACCACCGTAGCTGCCTCCGGAGCTGCCCCCGCCCCCTCCAGAGCCACCTCTGTGGCCCCCACTGCTGCTGCCGCCGCCACCACTTCCGGAGCCGCCGCCGTAGCTGCCGCCTGCGGAGCCGCCGCCGTAGCTGCCGCCTCCGGAGCCGCCGCCGTAGCTGCCGCCTCCGGAGCCGCCGCCGTAACTGCCACCTCCGGATCCGCCGCCGTAGCTGCCACCTCCGGAACCATATCCGCCGCCACCTCGGCTACTGCTTCCGCTCATGCTGGTGTGACTGGTGCTCACCGCTGCAGAGAGACTCGGTTACACCCCATCCCTCTCAACTCATCCCACCCAGCAAAGCGCCCTGAGAAACCAGCTTGTACTTACACACGCTCACGTTGGGGGTGCATTCTCCAGACATCCTGCGGGGAAACAAACCAAACTCTTCAGGGCACGCACCCTCTCAGCCCCCGCTTCCCATGGGGCATATCCTAGACTCTCCCCAGTGTTCCCCATGAGAAAGTTGATCCTTAGCCTGGTGCCTCCCAAGCCTGTCGGTTTTCTCAGCCTGAGTCCAAACAGGGAGAGATCTCCTTAAATCAGACAAGGCTCTTACAGTTAGCTGGTGGGGCTCAGCTGCTCTAAAGGCTATGTCAAAAGATTCAGTGCAGCCACGATAAATTGTTCCATTTCAAATGTAGAAGAGGAATGGGGAGGCAGGGGACAAGTCAGAAAAAATTAGAGTGGAGAGGAAAGAAGAAAGAAAAGAAAAGAAATTAGGGCTTGTAAAACAAGTCCTTGTTTCCACCCCATGTAGTGATTTTCCCAAACCCAAGACAAATTGCAATCAGAAGGGAATCCCTAAGAAGTGACCGAGCTGAAAGGGACCTTCCTCACCTGATCTCCTCTCCTTCCAGGAGGGTCCTGTATGTGGCAATCTCCATGTCCAGGGCCAGTTTGGTGTTCATCAGCTCCTGGTAGTCACGGAGCAGTCTGGCGAGTTCCTCCTTGGCTTGTGTCATGGCATCCTCCAGCTCATTCAGCTTGCTCTGAGCATCTTTGAGAGCGTTCTCGCCACGCTGCTCAGCGTCACTGATGTTCTGTTGCATTTGTGCGACCTGGGAAGGGAGCACAGCGCATTACATGGTGCTAAAATCCTAAGGTGCTGAAATTTTACCACACGCCAACTTTGAACCTTCTGACTACGTCTCCTCACTCCTCAGCTCCTAAGCCTGCTCTGGTCAGGGGCTAGGCCATTTACTGTGACCATCATTTTTTTTTTTCTCTACTAGGTCATTTTCACAAAGTTCCCTTAAGAGTATCCCACATGAGAGCTAAATTCTGAAAGCTGACATAGTCCCCAAAGAGAATGGAGAAGGTGGTGTAGCATTGGTAAGGACTGCAAGACTCAAAATCAGGAAAGGTTCCCCCTGTGGCCAGAAGGTAACACCATTTTGTTGTAACTAAGGGTACCTGCTTCTTGACAGCATCAATTTCAGATCGAAGTCTCTGGACAACTCGGTTCAGCTCAGAAATCTCCATCTTGGAATTCTTCACACTGTCACCATGTTTACCAGCAGTGACCTGCAGCTCTTCATACTAAAGATGACAGGTTGGCTCAGTTAGACATGGGTAGAAACTGGTGTGCTTGGGCACACAGACACACCAGCAGGCACAGGACACCACATCAGACCTTCTAAAGAACCTGCTAAGCCCACATGTGTTTACCTTGCTCTGGTAAAATGTCTCAGCTTCTGCCTTGCTCCTCTGGCAAATGTCATCATACTGGGCCTTGACTTCGGAGATGATGCCGTCCAAGTCCAAAGTGCGGTTGTTGTCCATGGACAGGATGACATTGGTCTCACTGATGTGCGTCTGCATCTGAGACAATTCCTGGAGGACATAACAGTTCAATGACTCTTACAGAATCAAAAACCAGCTCAGAGGGATCCGCTCAGGGATTGGAAGGGAGGCACTCTGAAGAGCAGTGGGATCAGGACTCAAGGATCTCCATCGAGGTGTTTGAAACGCAAGTGTTTACCTCACGGTAGAGTGCTGTGAGGAAGTCAACCTCCTGCTGCAGGCTGTCCACCCTGGCCTGGAGGTCTACTTTGTTCATATAAGCCGAATCCACATCCTAGAGGAGCAGAGGTATCATAAAGCCATGTTCTTTCCAGGATGGGCCTCCTCTCTCTAGCCATAAAGGAATTTTCCTAGTAGAGATGGAATTCGGGATCTCCTCCTCTTTTCCCCAGTTAAATCACAGTTCTAGACTGTTCCATCTCCTCATGCCATAGAAAGCCTGCTTGACTTGCTGAGAACTTGGACTAACAACATGGCTCCTCTCTGCCATGGCCCTGATATCTACTGTCTCACAGGTGAGTCCCACCCCACAGAGCTGGCTCACCTTCTTGATGGTCACGAACTCATTCTCCGCATTGGTCCTCTTGTTGATCTCATCCTCATACCTGCAGGAAAGCAGAGTTGACTGGGCAGTGAAAGGAGCTTGAGGCCTGAAGCTCAGTGTTCCGGGTTAAAGGAGTCACTGCCCATTACTGCCTCCCTTCACAAGCAATGTCAGCTTCTGAGCACTCAAATCATTAAACTATCAATCTTCCGAGAAGATGAAGAGTTTGGTTGTGGTTGTTGTTTTAACACCCAGTTGATTTGCCCCTAACTGAGGGAAAGCCGTTGCTACATAAGTCATATTCCCAGCGTATCACTTTCCAGAAATCCTCTGGTCCCCAGCCTGCTTACGCCCCACGAGGCCCCTTACTTGTTCCTGTAGTCTTCCACCATGTCCTGCATGTTCTTCAGCTCCGAATCCATCCGTGATTGGTCGCTCTTCAGCTGGTCTACCTGCCTTCTGAGGTTGCCAATATATGACTCAAAGTAGGGATCTAAATTGTGGGTCCGGGTGGAGGTGTCCACCTGCTGCAGCAGCTCCCACTTGGTTTGCAGCACCTGGTTCTGTTGCTCCAGGAAGCGCACCTAGGAACAGAAGACCCGTTACCCCCAGTGCAGGAATGGGGTCTGTTTGGCCACTGAGCAAGACCAAGGCTTCATTGAAAAAGAACTTCAAGTCCCATTTGACAGCAAGAGACTTAGGGAGAAGCTGATTGAGGTGACATCAGTCTCAGAGCAAAAGCCAACCCACGGGTTAATCCAAAGAAGCCCTGGAAGAAGGTAGCTGTATATAGTCCAGCACACATAAAGTTACAGGAATGATGCTTTGAAATGGAAATGTGATACTTAAGAAGTTTGCCTTCCAACTGTTTTTAGACAGATAGAAACTTACATCACTGGGATATATACATTGTTCAAAGGTATGTTAGGAATATACCAAATTGGATTTGAAGTTTATTGTAGCTAAATTTATATTGACATTATTGATAAATTAGCAGAAAAGTCAAACATGGCTCATGTTTTTCTAGACCTGAACATTGGAGTATATGTATTTTTAAAATCTCCTTCCTAATCCAATACTCATGGGGAATTGCCAGGGATTAGCAATCCCTCTGACAGCACAAGACATTTGGTGCCAACCTACTCCATCCTTTCTGCTACTTCACAGGGCACCCTTCATGGCCAGGAAGACCCTTAGGGGTTTCTCATTTGCACCCTAGAAAATTCCCACTAGCCCCATGTCTATATAATCTTCAGTCAACAGATGTGAGTTCAAGTTCTTAGTTCAAGAGCCCAATAAAAAAGCAACAGGATGTCAGACACGCCCATCTTCGGGTTCCCTTTGTCCACTTAGCATCACTCCTGAGCACATGTCCCAGAATTCCATTCCACGTGTCCTTTCCGTCATCAAATGCAGACACACAATGCCAAGTCTACCCCATCTTGATGCTCAGTCTCACAGCCTCAGAGCAGATAGCTCTCCCTGAACTCCAAGCAGGTGAACTCACCTTGTCGATGAAAGAGGCGAATTTGTTGTTGAGGGTCTTGATCTGCTCTCTCTCCTGAGACTTCACTTTTTGAATCTCAGGGTCGACCTCCACATTGAGTGGCTGCAGGAGGCTCTGGTTGATAGTGACTTCCTGGATGCCACCAGGGGGGCAGACAGGCCCCATACCACCCCCAAATCTACCGCCCCCATATCCTCCACCACCAAAACCACCTCCACTGCCAAAACCACCACCACCAAAACCACCACCACCAAAACCACCTCCACTGCCAAAACCACCCCCCCCAAAGCCACCACCACCGAAGCCGCCACCACCGAAGCCACCACCCATGCCACCACCCATACCACCACAGTGTCCACCTCCAGCCACACTCATGGAGATGCTCCTGCCACCCCCAAGGTTAATAAGACTTTTACTTCCAAAGCCACTACCAGAGCCCCCACTCCCACAGAAGCCTCCTGAAAACCTCCCACCGCCGCCGCCTCCTCCACTGCGGCGCACAGAGCTACTGGAGGATTTACGGTGGAAGCTGACCAGGCCTGCAGAGCCGGAGCTGAAGCCCCTGCCGCCCCCGACCCGGCATATAGACCTGGAGCTACACTGTCGACTCATGCTGGCTTAGAGGAAGAGCAAAGACAGAAAGGAGAAGGAAGGAGCTGAGGACTCCTCTGCCTTGTGCCCAGCACCAGGCCCTTTTATACTGGGAGGAAATTGGGCTTGGTCCTCCGAGTCAGCGGAGATGCAGAGCCTGCAGAGGGTTTGGTTTGCCTGCAGCCATACAAGATTTTTACGAGCCTCAACAATACGATAAACACTACACACCTAGCTCACAGGATGGGCTCTCAAAATTGCTGTGCAGACAAGATTGACTCGTGTGGTAATCACTTTATCTGACAGGATCTCTCTCCAAGTGTGCGTGGCTTTGAGAAACTAGGACCCCACATTGACTCCTTGGTGTTTCTTGATAGGATTTTGTAATCCCCCGCACAACAGTATGCATGCCCGCACTCTCAGCCTGCCAGTGTAGGCTGCTTGAGAAGCAGGTGCAATTCCTCGAGCTTGGATCCCTAAAGGAGCTCTCATTTTCCCGGAGATCATCCTTTGAAACCCCAGCACTTACCAAATTACACCTCCTGGAACAGAGTAAAGGCTTTGGAAGCTAAAAATCAAATGTCTTCTAAAGCAGGCTTTTACAAATGCATTGTACTGATTGATTCAAAGAAGGGCAGCTGTCACCGAGCAGGAGAGATGGGTAGGTGGTCTGGAAGCACCTGAGGGGAACGCTGTGTTCTTTCCTAAGCTTCTTGGTTGTTCCTTTTCAAAGATAAACCCAGGGCAAGAAATGGGCAGAAGAGGCCAGCAACTGAAAATAGGTGGTGTGTAAATGCCAGTATAGAATGCTTGTGGTGAGATGGGTCGATACCTAGGACATGTGGTAAAGCAAAGTGGGGAAGTTGAGGCATGACAGTGGGTTTGGAAGGGACGGCAGTTATGGAAAACTGGCAAACCTGACCTGAGAAGTTCACAATGTTTCTAGAGACAGTGACAATGGCTATTGAGGGCGGGAAGTGGGGGAAAGCAAGTCAGAGGCTGATCATGTGCCAGAACTGTCTTACGGCTTACATGCAGTAAGTTAATGTTCATAGCAACTTTGAGAAAGATATTAATCCACCCATTTTTTAAATGAGAAAAATGAGGCAGGAGGGTTGAAAAGCCTCCCCAAACCTCCATAGGTGGTAAGTGGCCGTTTGAAATGTGAACTGAAGGTGCCTAGCTAAAGACAGTGTGTAAGATCCTAATCCATGATTTTGTATGTCAGCGTGCAACTGAGTTCACATTCTCCTGTGTGCTGTGCGGAAAACTGGACAGCATGAGACGCTGTCCTGCTGTGGAGGGCTCTGAAAGAAAGGTGATTTTATCCTCTGAGTCCTTGGCTCCTGGCACATGGGAACTATTCCTTCAAATCACTGCGAGAAGAGGAGCTTGAAGATGAGGGAGATTCTGCTTCCGTCCCGGTGTCAGCGTAGGCAGTACGCATCGTACCAGGCCGGGGCCTTCCTGAAGAGCAGTAGTTGATCGATCTTTACAGAACGTAGTGACACCGAGATCTGGAAAGACCTGAACCTACACCAGTGATCACTTGCGAACTTCTTAGAAGCCTGGCATGCTCCCCACCCTCAATGCAAATGGAGGGGAAGACACCTTCTGGAGGAGCCTGCTGCTCGGGCTTCTGGCTCCTTGTGAGTGCATGGGAATTCCCCTCAGTACAAACAAGCTCTGAAGGAGAGGGGCATCTGTAAAGACCATCCTCCCCAGTACCAGGCAGCTCTGAACCAGGGAATTCTGCCAACCCTCTGTGCCCTACTATCAAGCTTTCTCTTGTATCAGTGTTTGCCTACCCTCCTCCAAGAAGTACCCCAGCCTGTCCTCTGTCCCCCACTCCTCCAGTTCCCACAGCACTGTCTTCTGGAACTCTGTCCTCGTGCCCGCGTCCTTAGGCTGCTCACTAACCATCTCTTTAGGGAATGAGTAATCCGTGTCTTGGTAACAATGGGTACTGGAATGGCTTTGGTGTGCTAATGACTATTGCCTAACCATCTTCTGACAAGCAATCAAAATTCTTGTAGTCCAGCATACTCCCTTGTGAGACATATCATTCAGCACAATCGATTCCTTCTAGCATTTTGGAGGGGTGTGCATATGTGTCTGCATGCATGTGTATGTGCATATGTGCGCCAGCCAACAACAGATCTTTCCAATGAGCCCGGCTTCCCTAAGCAACCAACAGAGAGAAAACCAGGCAATGGTGACAGTTTATGGCTCTGCAAACACATTCTTGCAGGTGCCCTGAGACAGGGAAAGGCAGGAACTAGCAGGATCAAGAAGACACAAAATCACCCTCAACTTAAGTTCACATGGCTCACACAGGACACTTGTTTTCCCACCGGAGCCTGGGGAACTATGCCATTGAACTCACTATATGAAGCTGAAAGCTGAGGCCTGGAGAGGCTTAACACTCTCCAGCTAGGACAAGACACATGTGGGACCAGATCCTGGGCTTTCTGCCGACCTTCCTTCCAACATGGAGAAAGCAAGGGGACCTGGGGACCATTCTCATCTGCTCGAGCTCGAGGCTGCACCCACAGGCCTGCCTACCACAGAAGTGAGAATACGGTTCCAAAGAAGGAGATGGCATCTGCCCAGGTCACAGAGTCAATTCTTCGGGATGCTCCAGTTTCTGAATCGAACCCCTATTCTCTCTCCACAGCTCATTTTTAACCCCTAAAGGGTGGGAACTGCAGGACTGCTAGTGAGCCACAGTTACTTCCTAGGATGTCCTAGGATTCAGGATACCTTAAAAATGCCTGTGAAATAAAAGTGTAAGCCACACACTCAGAGAACACAGACATGAATGAAGAGGAGAAACAGCCCAAACTTCTGCAGGTGCCGAGCACTGGTAGGGGCTGTACCTCGTGTAGATGTTGCTGAGAGGTACTGGCCCCACTTTAAGAAAAGGTACCTTAGGCTCATAGAGGTTGAAATGTGTGCCCTCGGTCACTAGATGGTAACTGACAAGCCAGTCTTGTCCAGAGCGCATGCCTCTTGACCTTGGCCAGCCTGTGACCTGCATCATGTATACCGTCTCTGCTCAATCTCAAGCGGTGACCCCCCCTTTTCTCTGTCTCTCTTCATTTTCCCAGTTCGCTTCTTCTCTTTCTAATAAGGCCTTCCAGTATCCTGGCAATTTGCTCCAAAACTCATCCCACAGACAGGCTTTAGGCACACACACACACACACACACACACACACACACACACACACACTCACACACACAGTCTCACATCCTGATTAGCTGCTCTAGACTCTCATTTCGATGTACCACACCACTGTAATAACCAACCACTCAGCTTGTCAGTGGTCAGCCCAGACCTCACCTTCTCCAGGGAGGTTTCCTTGATTAACATCATGCTGCTGTTCTGTTGGACTGTTTCCCCCCTAAACCAGGTTACTGCCTTAGCTGAGCATATGCTCATGTACTGGCTCTTTTGCAGGTCTGTGTTGTATGTTTATTCACCAATACTAATCGTCCATGTCTCAGGGCTTCTCAGCCCCCTTTATGGGCCCCAGCAATGGAAGAGATAATCCCGACAGCACAAACTGAGAGCATTCCAGAACATCTGCACAGGCCCTTCCCCATCCCCCACCCCACCACTGCTGCCAAGAGGCAAGCTTTGGGGCACAGCAGGGGCAGGTGTGGTGATGTTTTGAGAGCTTTTTGAGGGATGGGACCTCGAAAAGAATTAAGAGGAACATGCAATGACAAGCCACCCAGCCCTGCGGGACTCTGCCAGGTCTGTGGGAGAAGGAAATTTCAGGGGAGTGGGGAAAGCTGAGGCCTGGGAGGAGTTCAGGGGAGTCACAGACAATGGGGAGGCGGGGTGAGATGTTGAAAGCTGACAAATGGCTGAGGAGGGGCCCGAGGCTTTTTAATGACAGATGGAAAGGTGCAGAGCAAGGGGCAGATTCATGGAAGGCAGGTGGCAAAGAGGACAGTCCCCAAGAGTCACTGCTGAGCAGTGGAGTAGCCAGCAGAGGCCAGAGAGGAGTGAACCCAAGAGGCCTATGTAGGGGAGAGATAGTGGATGCTGTATCAGTCTGTACTGGGGGTGGGGTGGGGAAGGGAGGTGCTGTCAAACTCCTGATTGCACATTTCTAGCTGTATGACCCTAAGCAGGTCACCAATCCCCTCTGAGACTAAGATTCCTCATTTGTAAAATGGGGGGATAAACCTGTCTTCCAAGGAGACTGCAGGGTGTAGATGGTAGATGCAGAGAAGGAAGCCAGTAGCCCTTTCATTTGGAAGGACCCAAAAGCTGATATAATCACTGGGAAACTTTTGGTACAAGCCCCTTGCTGAACATTGTCAAAATACTAAGGTTTAGGTTCTTGAAACTCCCCAGGACTTGCAAAGACCACAGGTTTGTCACAAGGAAGATAGTGCTGCATCCCATAGAAAGGATGCTAGCAGCCAGCGCCCATAGCAGAAGGGAGGCAGGGTTAAATGCAAGGAACCCTGGCTGAAACCATGGAATGTCTGTTCTATACTGTGGAGCAAAGCCCCACAGGGTGCAGTAGGCTGGAAGCCAGGCTGCAACTTAGAGCCCCCAAAGGCCTTCCAAGCTTAGCATTGGGACATTTGGAAATGATTGTTCATTCTGGAGAACCTCCCAGAAGCCCAAGTTCCCAGCCCAACCCAGCAACAGAGCAGTGATCAACTTGAAGACATCCAGTTTCCTGAACTGATCGGAAAGATGATAAAAACCAGGGCAGCAAAGCCATAGGAGCAACAGAGAGCTTGAAGAGGGACTGCTGGAGCACCTGGCTCTTTAATTTGAAGATCCTCCTGGGCCAAAGGGCTAGGCAATTGGGTGGCAATCTCAAGACTCCTCCTTAGACTGAGAACTTTCCCAGCCGAGACATGCACATCTCATCCAAGGTCAGATGGAGTTAGAACGGTGGTGAGCCAATGACTGTTCTTCCTGTTCACCATGTCCTAGATAAAAATCTCTGCAGCTGAGAAGCTGGTGGAATTAAATTTAGATTTCTATTGTGGCCCGCCCTGCCACAGCCTCCCAGGGGGAGGAGCAGCTGGCAAAGTTCTCCTGGAAGCCACACTAGCTCCTGCCAGTCCGTATCTGACGGGTGATGGATGATGGGCCAGCTTTGCTCTCCTTCTGGCTACCTACCTTATGGGAAAGCACTATCTCAGCATTATGGAATACCTCACCGAGCCCCCACTGGGACCTCCTAGATCTTGTCACAGTGACAATGGAAACCACATGAGCTGATACAAGCTAGGCCTTCTGTACAGTTAATAGACTTGCTTGTTATTCTCACTGGGATTGATCTGGGTGTGATGGCATTGGCCCTAGTGAGACTGCTCATTGACCAAGGAACCTTCTCAAGAGTCTTCCGATGGCTCCCAGTGCCAGTCTCCGTGGTTCAAGCCCTAGAGAACTCCCTGTTGCCCAGAACATAAGCATATAGACTCTAGATTCTAGACTCCGAGAGATCTTTGCTTGCCTCCTCCCCGTCTCCCACCACGCCCCTGCTCTGGAGCACCTCCCTGTCCACAATCCTAGAACTGGGGCATTTGGTTCCCTCCTTCTGGCCCACCATTTCCATTCCTCTCTGACTAAGATAGTCAAGTCTTTGGGAGTTAGAAAAGGCAGGGCTGTGTTTTCTGGGGCAATCCCAACTCCTGCACAGGAAGATGGGAAAGATGGCCTCCAACTAGCCCCATCCTGATGCTTTTTCCCAGAGTCACCCTGGGTTCCCTTCCAATCATCATACATAGATGAGTGATCCCAGGTCACACCCTCAACTGTGTCTAGCGCTGCCAGAAAGCTCAGGTTTGTTTTACGACCCTGGCTTGGCGCTTGGCCTTCCCTGGTGTCTGACCTTATTCTTCCTATTAAACATACAAAGTAGGATCCCCTATTTTCCTCTGGCTCTCCCACATGCACGCTTCGGGCAGCAGAAACGTGAAGTGCCTCCATGCACATATCCCCACCATCCTCTGTGACTTCCCTCGACCCTCCAAGGGGCCTCTCTCATCGCAGTTAAGCAGTTGCTGTCTCTCGTACAGAATCAAATCTACTGTAGCTCCACCTGGCCAAGTGGGTCATCAGCTGGGGCCAAACCTCCTTGTCTAGGCAGGCTCTTCAAATCTCTGCAGCTAATAAGCCCATCTCCCTCTGCCCCAGGCTTCTCTCCAGAACTTCCAGCCATTCCACGATGACCAGGCTTCTTATGCCCACCACTACTGCCCTGGTCACTGTTCTCTGAGTAGGCTCCTGTTACCAGTGTTGGCATTCAGAGCCCCCAGAGTGGTCTCACAACAAAAGGGACTGAAGGACTGAACAGGGCTCTTCCTGGTTCTCCTCTTCCTGGTTCCCACAGCTGTCTTCAGTCATCACCACGCCCTGTTGACTAATGTGTTCTCACCGACGGGTAAACGCTGTCAATCATTTTTGTGCTCAGTGCTGTCTATCCACCTCTTCCTTCGCTACTGCCCCGGCTCTTGGCTTTTTACTTTAAGTACAGAGCCTTGCTTCCATATCCTCTTTCTCTTCTTCTGTTGTAACAATCCCTCTGTTCATCTCTCCCTTTCTTAGCCTGCTTCCAACAGGCTGGCTGCCAAGACAGAATGTCAGGTGTGCCTGGGAACACATCTTACCAGTGTAGGTTGTGGTCAAAAGTGAATGCATCTCGGGTCTAAATTCTATCTGTATTCCTTCAATGAATGAGAAGCCAGGTCACAAATCTTACGAGGCTCCCTCACACCGACTCTGAAATCCCACCTATGAGGCAGTTATGGAGTGATTGGCTCCGTTTTTATAATTTCTGCATCTTGCTTCCCTTAAAGAATCTATTAAAGGTTCCCTGGCCCTTGTTCACCCCGCAGTGGATGGGCCTCCACTCAGTGAATGGGTCTCTGCTCAGTGGATGGGCCTCCACTCCCTCGCCTCCTGGCTCAGTTTTTCCCATGGCACTGCTCACTCTCACTCACACAGTCTCACACTTCCTTTCAGTCTCCTGTCCAGAGCACCCTCCCTGGCTTCCTGCCCACATCTGCTCCAGTTTTAACCCCAAGCCCCACACCACTCTCCAGTCTCTGCCCTCCAGTGACCCCTGCTGCAGCCCCATGTGCTAGCTCTGGGTCTGCTTGGGTCCTGGGGTTGGGGGAGGGGTATCGTTTCCACCATCAAGCTGGCGAGCCGGATGCATGCTCTGCTTTCTCTTCCCTCTGAGCCTCTCTCGCCTTATAATGCGTCATTTGTGCCGCAGTACCTCGAGATCCAGAAACCATTCTAGGTGGCATCTATCTCAGTGCCCAGGCCACTGCCTGCTGTACAATTATCCACAGCCATCACAGGAGCGACACAGATGTTGAACAACTGTGCAGCTTGCTTTTGCATGATTAGCAAGGGTGAGAGCTTGGGAGGCTTTTCAAGATGGTGCACTGCTTGTACAATAAAAAAATAACAAAGACAATAATCCTTGGGGGCTAATGATAGCACCGCGGGAACGTGCTTGCCTTACAAGTATGAGGGTCTGATTGATCTCCCAGAACCTACAGCTCAAAAGCCTGGCATGGTGACACACTGTAGAGGTAGTTGTCTACTAGGGGCAGTGCTCCAAGGGTGAAGCACAGACAACCACCCCTACCACACACACTTGCAATCTTAGCACCAGGTTAGGCAGAGATTGGTGGGTGCATGGAGCTCACTGGCTAGCCCGCCAGACCGGCCTAATTGGCAAGTTACAAGTCAGTAAGGGAACCTTTCCCCCCACAAAGAAGATGGACAACACCCAAGGACCAACAGCTGATGTCCTCTGGCTCCATGGGCAAATGCACAAACCTGCACACACATGTATGTGCCTGTATACATATATACCTATACTCACACACACACACACACAAAAAATAATAATGTCTTAACTTCCCAAATTTGAATTATTTCAAAGAACTAAAGAAATAATAACTCGTCTCCTGACCACACAATATACTGAGATCACAGAAAAATTTATTGTAGAAAAAAACAGGACTGCCAAGCCCTTCAAAGAACAGCTTCCAACCATGCAACTAAGTCACAAGCATTCCCCAGGGGACCCCTACAGAGAAGCCATTCCAGACAGAATTACAGACTCAGCAAGCCAGTGAAGGGGACTCCAGAATTTGGAAGCAAGGCCACATTCCCTTCCGTAACTGTTCATTGGCTAGTACATTCCTCTTCCTGCACCCTCAGCACAGTTCAAGGATTTTTCATAGAACTGTAAATTAAACTTTTAATTAGGAGTCAAAGTTTGGCAGCGTGCTCAGAATCAGAGATCAGAAGGGACTCGGGAGATCCGGGAGAGAGCGTTGGATTGCCGCCAAAACCCAGGCCATTTCCAGACTGGCCATAGGCCGGACCTCTCCACAACCCAAGTCAACACCTCTCATTTCTCAGGCCCTGGCTCTGGGATGGAGCAGGGCTGCCCTACAGGTGCCCGGTGTTTGGGCAATTCTCAGGAGAGCCTTTTGGAACAGAGTTCTAGAGGGGGCTGGCTCCAAATACAGGGGACTGCTGAAAGGGGCGGGCACAGACCCAGAGTTTGATTGTCCACCCCATCCCACTCCCACCCACTGCTGAAAACAGCCATTCCTTGGACAAGGGCTTAAGTTCCCATGCCCACTGAAACATCCCTACCTGGGGCTGTAAACCCAGGGAATCAGAACAACAAACCTACCCTTGCCATCAGGGTGAGGGAGCATGAGGCTACAGAGGAAGGAGCCCCGGTGGCCCTGGGCTCAGATGTGCCCCTCACTAAACAAGTTCGCCTTGCAATAGGCCTTTGGGAGGGAAGGTTTCAGAAGGTCACCCGAGGGGGTGGGGTATTATTTACTGAGCTACCCAGTTTTAGGAAAGGGCACCTGGGACTGAGGCCCCTAGTGATGTTGCTCTCCAAGCTCTTTTTCTTCATTGCTGGACAAGGGCCCTGGGGATCAGGACAATGGAGGGACCAGCGGAGGGGTGCCCCAGTGAACATGTATGTGTCTTTGACGAAATGAAGAGGCTGTAACTCTGACTTGCTTCCCCACCCAGAGTCGAAGTGACCGGGAAGCTTGCTGAGACCCATTGAGAAAAGGTAGGTGAGAGAGCCCGGGAGGTTTTGGCGAAAAGGCTGCCGCCGGAGAGGTACTGCAGCCGCGCGGCCGCTACTCCACCACGCGCCTGCGCGAGCTGTGGGTGGAGGTCTGCACTATCTGAGTGCGGGAGGAGCCGCCGCTCCGGCCGCCACCGCCGCCACCGCTGCCGCCGCCGTATTTGCTGCTGCTTTTGCTGCTGGAGCCGTAGCTCCCGGAGCCGTAGCTCCCGCCGCCGCCGCTCCCGCGGGAGCCCGCTCCTCCTCCGTAACTGCCACTGCCGCCCCCGCGGGAGCCGCCGTATCCGCCGCCGCCGCCGCCGCCGTAACCTCCTGAGCTGCCGCCTCCGCCTACCGTCACCTGACTGCTATGCACAGCTGTACCCGGGAAGGACAGACGCACAATGGTCAGAAGGACTCGACAGGGGGACCCAGCTACACCTGCCTTGAGTGCCTGCAGCCTGTGATCAGTGGTGACCTCCACTTTGCAAAACAGAGGCCGCTGGAAGTCAACTGAGCATTTCAAAAGGCTGCAGGCAGTCATTTAAGTGTGCCACCCCCGTTTAGAGTCAGGTCCTCTGTGCTCTCCTAATGATCCCTAGCCAGTGTTGTCAAGTACCACAAGCAAGAAAAGCAGGCCTCGCTCACTATGGTGTTCCTTGTATGAGACTAGAAAGCAAAGGCAACCCGGCCCAGCCCATCCAGCCTCCGTCCCTGCTACTTACAGATGCTCACTTGACTCTGCAACTCCCCTGACATCCTGTGAAATCAAAACACAACCATCAGCCATAGGAGCAGGGACGCTGGCGTAAGGGTAGAGTTGTCCCCTCCCCGAGCACTTCCATGAAGCCTCATAGCATTTGTGGGTCACACCTGGCCGCACTTAGCTTAGGCCGGAGTACAGGAGCATGGTGCTTGGGAGAAAGCGGGTGGTAGCAATGGCTTCTCCCCTCCCCTTCTAACCTATCCGTCCTAGCTTGAACGTTTCTGCTCACCGTGGGCCACCAATCCTTCTGGGAACACCTGGCAAAGCTTTTCTCCAGCCTCAGTGCCTCATGGGTACATCCACATCTTTGGCCCATGGTGCACCCACCTGCTCTCCTCGCCCTCCAGCAGCTGGCGGTAGGTGGCGATCTCCACATCCAAGGACAGCTTGGCCCCCAGCATTGCCTGGTAGTCTCTCAGCAGCCTGGCCAGCTCCTCTTTAGACTGCTGCAGGGCCTCGTCCATGTCTTGCAGCTTCTGCTTTGCATCCTGGAGAGCCCTTTCTCCTCTCTCCTCCGCATCGGCAATGGACCCATGCATCTGTTCGATCTATACCAGAGACAAGCGGGGCACCACAGAGGTCTTGAGCTTCTGGACTCTGACCCGAGCCTTAGGGGAGTTGGCATGTCTGGTGAGCCCACCGTGAGCACCCATCACACCTGCTTCTTGACGGCAGCGATCTCTGCCTGCAGCCTCTGGATGCTGCGGTTGAGCTCAGCGATCTCCATCCTGCTGTTCTTCAGGTCGTCTCCGTGTTTCCCGGCTGTCACCTGCAGCTCCTGGTACTGTGGGTCAGAGGCAGCACCATGGTCAGCACCTGTGGCTCACTGGGGTCGCTCAGACAAAAGCTCTGGGCTGTTGTCTCTTGGAGTAAGGCCACCTAGAGTTGTGATCCTACATACACCCATCCCTCAGCTGAGGGTCAAAAAGACATGTGTAGACACAGTACGTACACACACACACACACACACACACACACACACACACACACACACACCACTGTGGCAAGCCTCCCTCCTCCCTCATTTCCCCGTCTCTGGGCAGGCTCAGATTCCACCCAGACAAATCTTTCTCAATGCCTTTTACCACCTAGGCTTTCACACCATCCTCACTCACACTGGGACCCCCTCACTCTCTCCCACCCACCGTATTTCTTGTCCCTTTTCCAGGGTGGTTCTCCTAGCAGGAAGGTGCTCCTGGCCTCAGAAGCCCTCAGAGCACCAATGTTCACTGTTTTCTCTCCCCTGTGCCAGGCATCAACCAGACTACACACAGGGCATCCTCAGAAGAGCTGAAGAAAATGTGCCTTCTGACAAAGCTCCCCTTCCCCAGTGACAAAACCCACTGCACCCCAGAACATTCGTTTTCAGTCTGTGGGACAGAGGCCAGTGACCTTGGAGTTGGCTCCAAAATTCACAAAGCAGATCACCACATCCTGCTTACTCAGAATTCAATGCCTGGGCTGCCAGCCTTTGTTCCTTCAACTAGGGTCTTAACCGCTCGGAAACATGAATTCATACCTAAGAGGTATCAGAAAATATGCCCAACGGCGTAGTGACAAATGATCACCCAGTAAGTTTCCACACTGCTAAGAAAGTGGTAGACTATTTGGAGTCACAGAACGTCATTTCTCAGTGATATATAAAAGAGAAAATAGAAAATAAAAAGAGATAGTGTCACAGAAAATAAAAATAACAAATGTGGTAGTTAAAGAACATGTTTGTAGTTTGCACGCCTGAGTTTAGTTAGTGTGTAATGGCAGTCGCTTGTTACGAGGCTTGGGAAAATTAGGCAGTCTGGCACCTATGAGTTCTCCATAAGTGTTAACTAAAAGAAATAGGAAAAGCAGGCAGGCACTCACCACACACAGCCAGAGTGGTAAGAAGAGGAGGAGGAGGATCTTTTTGGGAGTGCAAACTTGGAGCCCGATCTCACCTTGCTCTGGTACAGTGCCTCCGCCTCGTCCTTGCTCTTCTGAGTGATTAATTCGTATTGGACACGCACTGCATCGATGATGCTGTCCAGGTCCAGGGAACGGTTATTGTCCATCGATAGGATGACATTGGTGTCACTGATGTTGGTCTGCATCTGGGACAGCTCCTGTGAGACATGGAGCACAGTTCATTCCTTCCACCCACCTCCTAGAGCCTCAGTCTTCTTCCTGCTTCTCCCTCAAGGCTGTCTGGGGAAGCCAGAATCTGAGCTAGAAGGGCCTCTTGGGGGAAAGCTCTCTGAGTTGTTATATGCTATGAAATATAAACGGAGGGTCTTAAGTATCTCGACCAAAAGCGATGGGGCCCAGGCATCTTGGCAGGAGGAAGGAGCCCCTGACTGCCTTCTCCATCATGCCTCTCTTGTACTTGCTGTCCCGACCTGCAGGGCGGTTCACCACCTTTTTGCTACAGTTCTTTGAAGGACACAGTTGCTCCTTGTAGCCGTAAGAGCTCTCAGTGACAGCAGAAAGGACTCCAGTTTGGAGTCACCTGGCTAGCCGCTTGACCAAGCAAATAATTGAATCTCTCAGTTCATAGTTCTTCTGCTGAACGGACATGCCCACAAGGTGAGTAGGGCTTCTAATACAGCACTCAGCTGGGAGCACAAACCCCCAAGTTGGGCCTGGGGCACAGACTACCCTGCTTCCCTTCCATTTGTCTTCTCCACACAATCCCTTCTATCGTTTTCTACAGGGTTCTCCCAGAGCCTGATGGACTTCCCACAGAGCATGAGGACCTGATTGTTACCTCGTGTCCCGGGTGGCCTGAGAGAATACAGCAGGAAAGTACTTCCCCCTCACCTACTCAAGATCCTCACTGCCCCACCCACATCTCCACTGCTCCCACCAGAACCCTTGAAGTTGAGGGAATGGCTGCCCCAGTGTGAAGAGTTGGGAGACTGGTGTGATGAGCCTTCTCCAGCTCATACTCTTATGGGATGTGAGGAAAGAAAAGGTCTTCTCCTCAGGACTGAACTCACCGTATCAAATAGATATTTCAGGAAGTTGACCTCCCCATACAAAGTGTCCACTTTGGACTGCAGGTCTGATTTGCCCATGAAAGCAGCATCCACATCCTGAGTGACAAAAAAAAAAAAAAAAAGTTTGACTTCATCACCCAGGCATTGCCTGACATCAGCTTCATGGCTGGTCCCAGGCCAGTGGCAAATGTTCTCTGGGTTTAGTTCCTGGCTAAAAATGTCATCACTTCAGTCAAATCAGGGACCTAGGAACTGACACTCCTAACCAGAAAGAGGCACAGCAACCTCCACACGTGAGTCAGCCACCTCTGCTCCCCAGGTCCCTCCCCAGATCTCAAGGCAGTGTCCGTCTGACTTCCTTTCTGTGCAAGTGCCCTGCAATCGGGCAGAGCCTACATCGTGCTGGCCCAAGGGTTCACCTGTCCATAGCACAGAGCGTCCCTCAGGGGTTTGTCCCACCCAGTCCTCGGCTCCCCGATGACCCCTCTTTCCCTCACCTTCTTCATAACAACGAAGTCATTCTCGGCATTGGTCCGCTTGTTGATTTCATCCTCATACCTGTGATGGAGGCAGGAGGCAGGCTGCAAGGGCTAACCTGGGCTCCCTGAGGTTCAGCCTCCCCGCAGAGAGCCTAGACTTCCCCAAGCCTCCACTGTCCTGAACCCACAGCCTTGCTTCCAGCACCGCTGACCCCTGCCAGGGCCTGGTGTTCTGGCCTCACTGATGAATGACTGGGGGGAGCTCCCAATCCTCCTAACCAACAGTAAGGACAAGGACCCGACATGAAGAACTCAGAGACACACAGAATGTCCCCAAATGTCCCTATTTGTTCTGATGTTACAACTTTATAAATGTTTTCCTCGAACTTTTCCATGAATTCCATAAAGTTGACAACCATTTGACTAAATCTTTTAAGAGAAAAACATTTCACCTACAGTTCTGTCCCCACCTATGACCTCCAATGTGAGTTTTATTTTTTCCAATAGACTCACACACGTGACCCTCCCGTGACCCAACACAGTAAGCATTTCAAGGTGATGTTAAGAGAAGCATCTGTACCCCTTGAGGTGGGAGATGTAGGAGACGCCCCTTAGGCACTCACAGTTGTTCATGAACAGCTGGTCTGAAACTCAACTCCTGCCATCCCTACCATCACTGCCAGTAATGCCTGGTTCTTAGTAAAGCACCAATACTAAAAACTGTTAAGTATCATTTCAACCAGTGTGTCTCAGTGTGGTCCCCAAGCCGCTAGAATTATCATCACTTGGAAATATGTTCAACATACATATGCTCTGGCTGCATCCCGACTCCCTGGATCAGAACCACTGGGGTGAGACACAGAGTCTGATACAACGTGGTGCATGCTTAAGTTTAAGAACCACAGATCGGCTCCTCACAGTACTCAGCAAGGAGGGGGCACTCTAGACAGAGAGATGAGCTTGTAGGTGGGGCTTGCCCTTTCCTGCTCAATATAATTGACAGCTGCCTGTCACTGCTATCCTCCAGGACTGTCACATGTAAAATGTCACCCACTGCAGTCATACAATGCAGAGCCCACATGGCTGCCCCTGGTCCCACTGCAGCAGCAGGACCCTGCCATGCTTCTCCTTGACCCCTCCCCTGCCTGGATCCTTACTTGCTCTTGTAGTCCTCCACGACATCCTGCATGCTCCTGATCTCCAAGTTTTGGCGCGACCGCTCGGAGTTCAGAAAGTCCACCTGCCTCTGCAGTTGACTGATGTAACTCTCAAAGAGAGGCTCCAGGCTGCTGGTCCGAGTCGAGGTGTTCACCTGCTGCAGCAACTCCCATTTTGTCTGTAGCACTTGGTTCTGCTGCTCCAAGAAGCGCACCTAAAGAGCAAGGTCCCCAGTATACCCCAGGCCATGAGTCAGAACAGCTTTCTCCATGGGAAGAGCCATCAGCGGCCTTACAGCACACTCAAGCCTCAGAAATTCAAGACGGGCCTTCAGGCCATCAGGAGAGGTAATGCGGTTTCTCAGGTCACCTCCAGCCAGTTTCATCCAGTTACACCCCCTTACATAACAGAGCTCTCACCCCACACTCAATTCATCCATGCCAAAATGAGCAATTGCCATTTCCTTTGCCGTTACGATTGGAGTGTAGGGGCACATGGCTGAGGACGAGAAGGCAGCAGGAACAGCGAGTCTTGGAACATCCTGGGCAAGTTTCGGTGGGTGCCGCCGGCATCCACTACCATGTGTGCTGCCTGAAACTGTGGTTTTCTTTTTTTTTTTTTTTTTTTGGTTTTTCGAGACAGGGTTTCTCTGTGTAGCTTTGCGCCTCTCCTGGAACTCACTTGGTAGCCCAGGTTGGCCTTGAACTCACAGAGATCCGCCTGGCTCTGCCTCCTGAGTGCTGGGATTAAAGGCGTGCGCCACCACCGCCCGGCATCTGAAACTGTGGTTTTCAAGACAGCAACCTCATTGAAATGCTATTACAGCCCAGTCAGGATTTTCACAGTGAGTGCTTCCCCTCTTTTAAATCCCGCAATGCATTTAAATGCCCCAAGTAAGAACTTTGTGCTGACAGCTATTTGGGGAAATGCCGAGACTACTAGTTCCTTGTTAGTCCAGGAAATAGAGGGTGGACATGGCCCTGTTTTTTCATCGCTTCTTCCCCTCAAACTGTGGGAACAAAGACTGGACACAGAGTGGGGGCTGGCTGCCTAGATCAAGTGCACGGATTGTCCTTCACGTCACAAAGCCCAGCTTTCACTGTCCCCTGCCAGTTGCCCGTGGGTGGAGCTTCCTCTCCCATGAAGTGATAGAGATGACTGTGCCAACTGTGTACTTCCCTCGGGAACTACGTGTGCGCGTGCACACACACACACACACACACACACACACACACACACACACACATTCTCACATATTCATATACATATGTAAATGTTCACCATATGCTTATATATACATATTTACATGCACAAGTATTCACATTCACACACACAGGCATATTCACATATACTCACATTCACATGCACACACTCACTTGTACACACAAACGTATTCCTACATAAATATATTTATAAACACATCCATTCACACATACACATTAAGAGAGAGAGAGAGAGAGAGATCTCCAAGTCCAGCTCCCTCCTCCAGGAGCTGTGAAAAGGAGGGGGAATCAGAACAGCACTTTGCAGACACTATCCTATGATGACGGACTATAAGTCACTCAGAGTCGCCAGGCCCCTGAGACTCCACCTGCCTAAGGAACCAGACCTTGCCAAGTCCCTTTGAATTCTGACTCTAATCAGAAGAATGTGTGTAGGGAACATCATCTCTCAGGCTTATCTTGGCTGGTTGTATCATAGCAAGGGATTGAGTAATCAGTTCTCAGAGCAGACCTGTCAGCACAGCTTGTAACACCCCCACGAGGAATTCCTGCCACTATCTATTTTTGTTCTGTGGTGACACTCCCAGGGAGTGGAAAAATCAGTTCTACACTCCATTACAGCCTTGTGTTTGGTGACAGTGGCATAGTGGGTATGGGCCTTCTCAGGTTGTGGCTTTTATTCCAAATGAGACAAGGTGCCAGGGGAGTATTTATGATGGAGAGGGTGCTGTCCTTTCGAGGGACGGCTCTGCTGTGCTGTTGGGAACAGGTCAAGCTGTACTAATGGGAAAGCAGGCCAAGAAATTATAGTAACAAAAGCTTGCTTTCTCCCAGATTGGAGGCCAGCTGGCTGATGGTCATCACGTCCTGCTCCAAAGGGAGAACAGGAAGTCACTATCTCCTGTACCTTGCTACCTGGCTGTAAAACTAAATGGGCCTCTGTTGATGGCAGGAGCCTTGATCCAGTGAAAACCCCGGATTAATTTCCAGAAGTCTGTGGTACTTGGTCGATGTCAGTTTTCCCCGCTCCTCCCTTGGCCAACTTTGAGCTCCTGGTAGCATCTCCTTCACTATTAAGTCCTTGCTCCAGGCAAGCCTTTGAGTTTCTCTTCCAGAGTGATCAGAAGTAGCCACAAGCACCTGGTTCTGTTGAACTCCCCGGGGCTGCCCATGACCTGCCCTCTATATCCTCCTCCTGCTCACACACCGCTCCATCTCCAACACTCACCCTGATATCAAGCAGTGCCATTGTGCCCCCTCTGCAAGTGCCAAAAGGAAGGTTTTTACTGTCTGCCAACCTCTCCTCAGGGAGCTCAACATGAGGCACACCTAATCAGTGAGTTTGGGTAAAGGGCTCCGTGGTGGCCCTTTGCTGGCCCCAGGTGACGTAAAAAGGGCAGCTCAGACAGAATGCCTCATTACATATTACTGACCTTCGTTTCTGGAGAGACCTGCCACCAGCACACCCACTTGAAGCCTACGGCAGCTTCCCAGCTGCTGCTGCTGCTGCCTGTCCCTCTACCCTGTCACCACCACGCTCCCTTCTGGCACTTTCCCAGAAATTTTGACATTTGACATTCCCTAAAGGGGGTCACACTTTTTGTGCCTCCTTGCTGCATGGACATTCTCTCTGCCTGAGAGCTGTTTGGCTTTTCTTTCACCTTCAAGACCCAGATAAGCCTCAGGGTCTTTCAGGGAAGCACTCCCAGGATCCAGCAGACACAGCTCATGGGACCTTCAGGCTGCCATGACCCAAAGAGTACCCCCATAGTACCACATCTCCTGTAAACTGTCACAATTCCCTGCCATTCAGTTTTGGGGTTCCCTGTAGCTTCTGTGTGTGGTGGCATACAGTAGACCTAATAAAATATTGTGAATTGAATGGAAATGGGGCAAATGGGCAGGTTAACTGATAGGTGGGCAAATGGGTAGGTTGATACACATTTGAGTGTATAGCAGGGAATGGGTGCAGGCATAAATTGGGTATGTATATGAGTGTGGGTAGAAATATGGGTAGATAATATTTATTATGCATGACGGATGGGTGGGTGGGTGGATAGATATATAGATAGATGAATACAGATGGATAGATGGATGGATGGATGATGGATAGATGTGTGGGTGAATAGATGGATGGGTATGTGTGTGGAATGGATGGATAGATGAGGGTGAGTGGATGGGTGGATATACTGGATGGATGCATAGATGCATGGGTGAGATAAGAGATATATAGAGGTGAGTGAATGGATGGATAGATAGATGGGTGGATGGAGATGGATGGATGTGAATAGATGGATGGGTAATGGATGGATGTGTGAGCCTGAGGGGATGTGGATGGATAGATGTGTGGATGAGTAGATAAATGGATGATGAATGTGGGTAAGCAGGTGGATGGGTGAATGAGTGTGTGTGGATAGATGGATAAGTGGATGGATGGATGGATGGATGGATGGAAGGAAGGAAGGAAAGAAGGAAGGAAGGAAGAAAGGAAGGATGGATGTGGTTGAGTTGGTAGGTGGATGAGTAGATATGTGTGTGTGGATGGTGGGTAGAAGGATGGATGTTGGGTGTGAGCGGTTAAATGGGTGAATGGGTGACTAGGTACAAAGATGAATGGAACATGGGTAATGATGCCTGAGAGTGAGATTATTGTCATTTGTATCCATTGGGTATTGTCACACCCCTTATCTGCTTTCCTACTAAAAAGGAAAGATTTTTAAAAATGCATCCCTGAGAGGCCTACATTAAATACTATCTATGTGAAAGCCCAGATCAAATGCTTCCTTTGGGTCCCAGAACACACAGAAGAGGAGTCATCCTCTTTGTGACTGTCGTCATCAAACCGAAAGAGCACAGTAGTCGCAGCACTATGGCGGAGTGTGGGGCCCTCCTGGTCATTTGAACGATGACCAAGGACTCTGTCTGCCCCTGAGGTACTCACCTTGTCGATGAAGGAGGCAAACTTGTTGTTGAGGGTCTTGATCTGCTCCCGCTCCTGGGTCTTGACCCTCTGAATTTCAGGGTCCACCTCCAGGTGCAGGGGCTCCAGGAGGCTCTGGTTAATAGTTACCTCATGGATACCCCCGGGAGGATAAGCAGGACCGAAGCCCCCAAACCCAAAATTGCTAGCGCCAAATCCGGCACCCCCAAAGCCGCCTCCATATCTGCCACCACCGTAGCCACTGCCTCCAAAGCCACCACCCCCAAAGCTTCTTCCTCCTCCAAATCCTCCTGCTCCTCCACCCGGGCAGAAACCACTGGCGCTCCTCCCCACTAGGCTTCCAAAGATGCTTTTACTACCGCCCAGATTGTAGAGACTCCTGGAGCTAAACCCCCCTCCATAACCACTGCCACCACACCTCCCCCGTGCCAGACACACAGACCCCACAGCCTGTCTCCCACCGCCAAAGCCTGAGGAGGACCTACTGCTGTAGGCCCTCCTGCTCCTGGAGCTGAATGCAGACTGAGAACTAAACCGGTGGTTCATGGTTGCTAGGGCAACCAGAGGACGCAAGGGCCCAGCTGGAAGGAGGCAGAGAGCAGGAGGGAAGGAGCTGTGACTCCCTTGGAAAGGATCTGGCTCAGTCCCTATATATACACACACACCTGCTGGGCTGGACGCCTGGGAGGGAAATATTTGCAAGTAACATCTGCTTAAAAAACCTCACACCTATGTGTTGCTGAAATTACATTGCCAACAAACTCCCCCAACTTGATCATTTATCATTCATCTCTTACTACCAGAGATCGAGGGGGAGCAATCTCTCAGGATCTCAGTGTTGGAAACTCCGGTAGAGTTTCTCCTCAAATCTCAAACTGATCTTTTCCTAAGAAACACGGTTGAGTTGTTTGCTTTGGGGTGTGCCTGAGAGATCGGGGGTAAAACTATGGAGTGTCTAGTGACCTTGGGACCACAGCTGGGATGAGACACTCGCTGTAACAGGCCTGTCCCTGTGCACAAAAATGGTTTTGTTTTGCATTTTTTTGTGTGACAACAAAGTGTTTTATGAGCATCTCCCTGTATTAATGTCTCCTAGACTCAAAGGTAAACTATCCCAAACTATATCCTCCTGTTCTAGCATTTCTAAACTGACACTGATAATATTTTTGTAAAAAAACAAAAGGAGTATTTATCCTTTAAGGAATATGTAAAGACCACAGTTTTTTTTAAGCCTTAATTTGGATTTAGTATTATTATTACTTTTTTTAATTTGGTCAGCATAAAATTGCCCTCCTAATAAAAAAAAGCAATAATAATAATAGTAAGTCCCTACATGATTACTCTCAAATTCTGTACTTATTAGAGAATAGCAGTGAAAGAATCAGGGTCCATGTGCATTCTTCGAGGACTGTCCCCAGTAGGAGGCCTAGCGTGAAGTTCATGGGAGTGTATTCCTGTCATCCAACAAAGTGTGTTTTGCTTCTGGACACAAATAGCTGGTGGATTGCATCCAAAATGCACTAATAAATGTTTTTAAAAATGAATAGAAAAAATAAATGTCCAGCTTCAGAAAAAAAAAAGATTGGGTAATGATTCTCCACATGGACACAATTATATAAAACCTGAAGGAAGTATAACAGGACTAGAAAAGGCCATGATATAATGAACATTACAGAGGGCTGGGACGCTCAAAAGTCACAAGGAATGCGAATCACTCTCTTGCAGATTGTGGGGCACTTCCTCCTAGGATTTTAAATACCCTTTTTCTATGTGTTCATGCAATAAATCTTTTTTTTTTTTCAATACTTGGTACTGACTCCCAAGTGCCCCAAATTTGGGGCAGAAATCCCAACCAAGATAGGAAAGATTGAGTGGCCTGAAAAAGCAAGAGATGGGAGCTGGGAGCAGCTTTGGAGAAAACATCCTGCAGCTGGGAGTGTCCTGAGGGCTGTTGCCAGAGGCCATGCCTTATCACTCTCCGAGGTGTTCTGAGCGTGGGAACTGTTTAATGGGTCATCTCCAGGGATCACTGTGGAGGGAAAATAGAGTGAGCCTGAGATGTGGAGACAGAAGCTCGAATCTCAGCCCCAGACCCGGCTTCCACCTGGCCGTGATCATCTCAGACAAGCCACTTGCTGCAGAACCTTGGATGCTGCCGTCTTTCCAGACTCCACGAATTGAAGCCCAGCAGAGTACACTACAACATCCTGAAGTGCATGCGGCAGCTGTTCTCTCCCTCCTACGGTCCCACCCTGGTGAGCAACAACCATCCCAAGTCATCTATGATTTCCAACTTAAGCTGGGACAGTGCTCTACAGGTCACAGCAGAGGGCCTCCCTGGTCCTTTTTATCTGCACACAGCCCTTATTCCCAACCTTAACCTCTAGGGACTTTAGATAGGACAATGAAGCCAAGTCCCCCGCCAAGATAAGGAGAAAGTAATAAGGCCAGAGAAAGAGTTGAAAGTGAAACTCCAGAGAGGAAGAGGTCGGTAGAGAAGAGGGGGGTTTGACGGTGGAACGACGGGCGTGGCAACAGTGATTGATGAGGGGATCCTTGAGATGAGCATCTTTAAACTTGGCTTCGAAGCGTAACTTGGCCCCTTCCCAACCCCTTGGTTTGACACCTGCCTCCTCCAGTCTGGATTTCAGGCCTCTGAAACAGAGTAGCATCAGCAGCGCAGGAGGAAACAGAGTAGCATCAGCAGCGCAGGAGGAAACAGAGTAACATCAGCAGCGCAGGAGGAAACAGAGTAACATCAGCAGCGCAGGAGGAGCCGCGTTCAAAAGAAAGAGGAGCTATCAGCTGATCGTGCCGAGTGGGACTCCCCAACACCTTCAGGAAGCTTTCCCTAAGACTTGAGACCGTGGCGGCCCTCTCACCCTCTGCACTGCTGTCTGTAGTGTCCATCTCTCTTCACTTCCATCTCCACGCCCAACTAAATAAATAGGAAGCTCCTTAATGTTAGGACCAAACGTGGCCCAGGAGCCCCTCCCTAAAATGTGCCCGTCAGAGTACCCGCAGAGGCTAGTGGTAGAGTCCTGCCACTCCGAGCGAAAGCAAAGGCTGGCACATAGATATTTGGCTCTTCCAAAGAAGGAAGAGCCCGGACCCCACATTGAGCCAGCCTCGCCTTTACTGATGACTGATCCCTGCTCCCCATCACTCTCGGCCTGCCGTCAGCAAGTGCTCTCCTTAAAAGTCAAGTGGAAAGTCAGCTTGTCCCCACCTGACTCCCAAATACTGAAACCCAAGGCTGCCAAGAGGGTGAGTCAGCCCAAGCAGCTATCAGCCACCAGAATCACAATCTCAGCAGCAGCTGGGGGCAGGGTTCGAGAGGAGCTGCTGGTGTAACCCGCAGAAGCATCCCCATAGATACGCTCCCCATCTCATCCAGCATCTCCCAGGGGCTGGAGGTGGATATGGCAGGGGCGTGGCAGAGAAAGGCCTGAGGAAGAATCTCACTCACCAGCCCCCACCCAGAGGGCCAAGCCCTGTGGCTACGGTGCAGGTCCATATGCAGCTTGTGCTAGCTAACCTTGGCTATGGTGCAGGTACTCATGGGGCTTGTGCTAGCCTTGCGATTGGAGCTTTGGGACCTGTAATCTGCAGAGGAGACACCGTGGGGTGGAATCCATGGGGAGAAAGTGGCTGCTGGACAGAACAGAAGCTCCAGCCTTGGTTTCCCACCCAGCAGGAGCCACTTCTCCCAGTTCAAGTGTCAGAACTGAACTTGCAATAGAGATCGCCAGCCCGTCAGTGTCATTTCACAGGAGGAAGTGGGTACAGGGAGAGGGACATGGCCCAAGTAACAGGGAAGGTTGGTGGTGCAGCTGATGTTGCAGCTTCTCCCTCCCAACTCAAAAAGAAAAGAGAGGCCAACAAGGAAGTCCCAGGCATCCTCTTTTCCTGCAGCCTGGGAGACAGGTGGACTGGGGGCTATCCTGCCAGTCTGGCAGGTCATGTGACCAAGAGGAGGAAGGTGGTATCTAGCACACAGGCATATCATTGGGGAATTCTGATTTCTGGGTTAGGGTGGCTGTTGGGCCATCACCTAATGCCACAAAGCACCCAAGGCCTCACCTTTGATACCCTCTTTGACTAGAATCCCAAGACCAGCCTGGGAATGAAGGATAAAGCAATGTCCTACCTTGTCAAACCTATCATACGCTCTTGGCCCTCGAAGCCCCCATGAGGCCTCAGCACATCCCTGCAGAGTCCCATGAGGAAGGTCCAGAGAGAATGTTGGTTCCAGACGTATTGAGGCTCTTCCGTCCAAAGTATTGGAGGTCTGACTTTTTAAACACCTCACCAAAACTGGCACTGTCTCTTGTCCCAAAGGCAAAGGGAACAGCTGGGCATGTGTGGGCCTAAAGGAAAATAAGGTTGTAGGCTGGACCAAAGCTGAATTCCAAAAGAAACAGTAAGGTCGTAGCTATGAATCACTGTTGTTTGGGCAGAGGACACTTTCATATATTGGATCAAGAGGCAGTCAGGACAGATTCAGTTATAGGGATAGTTGGTAATTGGGTGGGGACCAGAATCCCAAATCCCTGGGGCAGGGGATATGGAATATTTAGTAAATTCCAGGCTCATATGTCCCTTGCCCATGTTAAAGAGACTACAGCAGTACACAAACATAAGGAATTATCTATTATTCTTTCCTCCATTTAAAGAATAAGCAGGTTCCTGGAACAATGGTCATCAATAGTAGGAGCCTCTATTGGGCCCTTACAATACAAGAAGCTACACAGATAACATTTGATCCCCAGAGTGTTATCTTTGTGGCAGAAGGTTCATGTGCCTGTAGAGGTCAGAGGTAGGTGTCAGATGTCTTCCTCTACCACACTTCATCTTATATTTTGAGACAGAGTCTCTCACTGAACCTAGAGCTTGCCACTTGTGCTGGATTCAGCCAGATTCCCCTTGGATCCGCCCGTCATGGTCCCTTGAGCACTGGAGTTACAGTCTCCACACGTCCATCACCAGGGTTACAGACATTTTAACCATTAAGCCATCTCCAGCCCCCTCTTTTTTTTTTTTTTTTTTTTTTAGTGGACAAAGTTTTGGATAACCCAGGCTGTCCTCAAACTCTCTGTGTGACTAAGGATGACCTTGAATTTCTGATACCCCTGCCCCACCTCCCAAGTGCTGTGATTATAGGCTTGCATCGCTGTTCCTGGCGTATGAAGTGCTGGAGATGGAACTGAGGGCTTCAAAAATGCTAAGAAGGTTTAACTTAGCCACATCCTGAGCCACACAACCACGTTTTACTGAGGACTTTCAGGTGTGGGCTGGGGTGGGGGGGTGATCAAGCAGCCAGCTACAAAGCTTGTAGCCCCGCCCCTAGATCTCACCTGGGCAGACCGACTCCAAAGTTCGAGATCCTGCCACTGTTCCTTCTGCTTCATGGGGTAAGATTTTAGAGCTCAGCTGCTGGAATCCAAGCCTTGACTGTACCTCATATGAATTATCAGACCCTCTACACGTTCACTGAGCTCTCCACGCCTCAGTTTCCTCATTTGTAAAGCGTAGGCATTGCCTACCTCACGGGACTGAGCAAGTTGGAGCAG